GTTGCAGCCATCATTATTGTTTGGCAGGTCCGGGCTGGATTCAAACCCGCCACCTTAGGTGTATGGTGGCTGGCACCTTAGCTGGTTGAGCTATAGGCGCCGAGCCAGCAACCTCAAATTCTTAGACTCATGAGATCCTCTTACCTCAGCCTCTCAAGTAGCTGGGATAACAGGTGCCCACCACAACGGCTGGCTATTTTCTCTATTTTTTTCTTTTCTTTTTTTTTTTGGAGACAAAGACTCAAGCTGTCACCCACGTAGAGTGCCATGGTATCATAACTCACAGCAACCTCTAACTCAGGCTCAAGTGATCCTCTTCCCTTAGTTTTTCTATTTTTAGTAGAAATGAGATCTCACTTTTGCTCAGGCTAGTCTCAAACCCATGAACTCAAGCAATCCACCTGCCTCAGCCTCCCAGAGTGCTAGGATTACAGTTGGGAGCCACTGTGCCTGGCCTAGTTTTTCTATTTTTGGTAGAGGGGTCTTGCTCTTGCTCTGGCTGGTCTCCAGCTCCTGGGCTCAAACAATCCACCTGCCTTAGCATTCCAGAGTGCCAGAATTATAGGTATGAACCACCATGCCTGGCTGGCCCCTTTACACTTGTTGGTGGATTTTCATCCAGGGAAAAAAATCAACTGATGCTTATTCTTAGGACCAAATTAGTAAATCCAGTAACAATGTGAGAACATGTCTAGACTTGCCTCCATTGAATCTAACCAGCATTTCCTCACACCATTCAACATGGGTGCCCTTTTGCTCATCTGTCAAATTATGAGGCACCTATCAGGACAAAACTTTCCTGATGTGAAGATAATCATGCAGGATTTTGGACACTGCTTGTGATCCAATCTGTAGTGCTGCTTCGATGTCCTTAAATGTTACTCGATTGTTTTTGCGAAGCATTTTCTCTACAGCACCACTGTTTTCCTTAGTCACTGCAGTCACTGGATGTCCATTCCTCTCCCTGTCCTTCACTAAAATTCAGACTCTTCTAAATTCTTGAAACCACTGAAAAATTGTCATGTGGGAAGGAGTAAAGTCCCCCAAAGCCTGTTGCAAATGCTCAAGGCTTTCAGCTTCCTTTCACCCACTTTTAAAGTCATAGGAAATCATCGAGAGAAAGTGCTCTCTTCCAAACTCCATAGCTGACACCAACTGAGTGCTATACAGAAGAAAGCAAATGAAGCCCTCTCAGCAACATTAATAAGCTGAGCAAGATGAAACTTTCACAAGTGAATCAGAAAGAACACTGCTGTTGACAGCAGTGTTTCTTGGAAGTAGAATAATGATCAGTAGTGAAACAGTAGTGTTTCTGTTTCTTGGAAGTAGAATAATGATCCATAACACAGTCTGTATCAAAACCTTCATATATAATGGCAATGAATCTTTGTGGACACTAGTGCAATCAAGGACAAGGCACGGTGACAAGAGGAACGGTTCACACTGAACCAAAGGAAAGAGTTACGAGACAAGCAATGAAAAGCTTACCAAAAAAAAGGGTTGCTGCTACCTTTGTCCCTGTGGGAGAGACCAGAAATATATGAAGGAATGCAGTGAATCCAGCAAATACATCTGTCCCAGCCACAAATCAAAAGAAAAAAATAAAAAGAAAATGCAGAGAATGTGACTAAAGTGTTGATAGTTACCTGTGCAATTATATGTAAAATATACCTTTTTTTTCGGGAATTATAGTACTATTTATTCTGCAGTCAGTGTCTGGACCCCCCCACTGGTGTTCATCAAGTACCACATTGGCATTGGTATGCGACTGTGAAACAGAACAGATAAAATTGAAAACAAAATGCCAGAGATAATCTTCCAAAATTTGTTTCAATTCTACATGTGCCTGTGCAATGAAAAAAATTTCTTTCTTACTATGACCGGTAACAAAAATTGAGAAATTCTGACAAAAGGACACTAGTGCTAACTTCCAATATACAAAATCATAAAGCAAAGCGATAGGACTCTTATCCAATTTCAGTATAATCCATTACTAACCTACCTTATCAAGCTTGAGTTTGTCCACATCAGCTAAGAATGGGTTTACTGCTTTCTCACCAACCACCTTCAAAGCAGTACCCAGTGCTTCAAATGCAGCATCTCTGACTTCAGGTGCAGAATCATTGATGTGCTATAGTCCAGAATTAAGCAAAGTGATCTTAATACAAGGTATTTTGGGTATCATTTATTCTAATTCAGGCTGATGTTTACTGGATAATTTGCTTTTACACAGGCCAGGCATAGTGGCTCACTCCTGTAATCCTAGCACTCTGGGAGGCCAGGCAGATGGACTGCCTGAGCTCACAGGTTCAAGACCAGCCTGAGCTAGAGTGAGACCCCTGTCTCTAAAAATAGGTGGGTATTGTAGCTGGTGCCTGTAGTCTAAGGGAGGCTACGGCAAGAAGACCACTTGAGCCCAAGAGTTTGAGGTTCCTGTGAGCTGTGATGCTATGGCACTTTACCAAGGGCAACAAAGTAAGACCCTGTCTCAAAAAAAAAAAAAGAAAAAATAGGCTCAGCACCCATAGCTCAGTGGTTAGGGCACTGACCACATACTGAGGCAGGCAAGTTCAAATCCTGCCCAGGCCTGCTAAATAATGACAACTGCAATAAAAAAGTAGATGGGTGTTGTGGCGGGCACCTGTAGTCTCAGTTATTTGGGAGGCTGAGGCAAGAAAATCACTTAAGTCCAAGAGTTAGAGGTTGCTGTGAGCTGTGATGTCATAGCACTCTACTGAGGACAACACAGTGAGACTCTGTCTCAAAAAAAAAAATAAATAAAAATAAATAAACAAATTTGCTTTACACAATTTACTAAAGCTAAATGTAGTTTTCCTTTTGCCAATTAATAGTTACTTTTTCATAAATTCTTTCTTTTTGTTTTTGAGAAGGAGTCTTACTTTGTTGCTCAGGCTGGCATGTACTGGTACTATCAAAGCTCACTGTAGCCTTGAACTCCTGGGCTCAAGTGATCCTCCTGCTTCAGCCTCCTGAATAGCTAGGACTATTGGTACACATCACCAGGAATGGCTAATTTTCCTTTTTCATGGAGATGGGATCTCACTATGTTGCCAAGGCTGATCTTCAACTCCTGGCTTCAGCAATTTTTCTGCATTGGCTTCCCAAAGTGCTGGGATAACAGGTATGAGCTACTGTACCAGGCCCACAAATTTCTTTCTGGGTTAAGGAAATCTCTGGTAATATATATTAATCAAGTCTTTTTTTTTTTTTTTTTTTTTGAGACAGAGCTTCAAGCTATTGCCCTGGTACAGTGCCGTGGCATCATAGCTCACAGCAACCTCCAATTCCTGGGCTTAAGCGATTCTCTTGCCTCAGCCTCCCAAGTAGCTGGAACTACAGGCGCCCACCACAATGCCCAGCTATTTCTTGGTTGTAGTTGTCATTGCTGTTTGTTAGGCCCGGGCTGGATTCAAACTTGCCAGCTCTGGTGTATGTGGCTGGCGCCTTGGCTGCTTGAGCTATAGGCAATCAAGTAGCCAATCAAGTATTTCCTTTTCTTCCTACCCTCTATCTAAAATGCCTCTCTCCCAAATGATCTTCAAGTACTAATACTTGATACCTGTGCTTGGGCAGGTATCAAGTATACACCAGTATATGGAATTAGTAAAAAAAATGCTTAGCAGTTAGTGGAATCATAAAACCAGCTTATGACTTCCTTCAAGACTAGGAACACAAACAGTTATAATTAGGATTTAGTTTCCAAAGCTATAAAGTCTGCTCCTCGAAAGATCATAATCTACCATCTGAAAGTCAAGTGGTCATGTATATAAAAGAAAAAAAAAATCTTGCCTAGATATAGAACATTCCCCCAATTTCAAAGAAAGTGTATACCTTAAGTAGTGCAGCACAAAAGGGCTTTAGCAAGCTCTTTGGCAGGGTAGAAGCAGTGCAATGGCGGAAGCTTCTTGCAATAAAAAGAGATGTCTGCTGCTTGATGGTTGGATTTTTATTATCCATTACTGCTAAAACATCTTCGCTGATGTTCTGTAGTGTGGTCTGTAGAAACAAAATGTGGTCAATGAGATTTTCTCAATTGTAAAGATCAAAACATTATATTGACAAAATATACTTTAGATAAAACCACAAATTTGTGCTGTAACTTACGGTAAGGAAGATTGCATCAATTGCCTCTTGTAGGGCTTGTACCACTTGAGGCTTCTTCTCTTTGAATTTCTCCAAAATAGTTGGCACAACCTAAAAGTGAACAGTTGGAATATTGTTCAGCAATAAAAAGGAATAAAGTATTGATAAATATTAGAACACGACTGATCCTTGAAAACAGTATGCTAACATGAAAAAAGCCAGTCACAAAATGCCACATATTGGCTCGGCCCCTGTGGTTCAAGTGGCTAAGGCGCCAGCCACATACACCTAAGGTGGTGGGTTTGAATTTGGCCTGGGCCCACCAAAACAACAACAGCTGCAACCAAAAAATAGCCGGGTGTTGTGGCGGGCGCCTGTGGTCCCAGCTACTTGGGAGGCTAAGGCAGGAGACTCACTTGAGCCCAGGAGTTAGAGGTTCCTGTGAGCTGTTAAGCCACGGCATTCTACCCAGGGGGATAGCTTGAGTCTTTGTCTCAAAAGAAAAACCAAAACCAAAAATAAAATGCCACATATTGTGTGATTCCATTTACAAAAAGTGTCAGAAGTAGAATAGTAGTTTCTAGGATCCAGGGGAAGAGCAGTATGAGGCATGACTGATAACAGGAATGGGGTTTATTTTGGGGGTGAAGAAAATGTTCTGGAATTAGACAGTGGTGATAGTTATACCACATTGTGAATACTATAAAACCACTTTAAGAGGGTGAATTTTATTGTAAGTTTTATCTCAGAAAAGCTGCTTGTTTAAAAAATGACTGTGACACTACCAAAAAAACCCCCCAAAACAAAAAAAGTGAACATTTAAGGTGAATTAAAAGTCATTTTCTTTCTTGAAGGGCATAAGAGTCTTAGGGAACAATTAAGAGTTCTCATCCTGTTCCACTATAGCAGTGCTTCTCACCCTATTTTCTCCCTCTCTATCTTATATGCAAACATATAATCATTATTATTAGTAACATCTCTCATTACAGAAAGTAATTTGCAACTACGCAGACTTAGGGTAGGGTGAATATAATTCTTCTTCCAACCTAAGATGCTGATATAACTCAATGGACTGCCCCTTCACTATACCAATTTAAAAAAAGAAATTTGTGATCAGAATTATATCTTCTTACATAAGTACTAAGTTTAGACAATGCAGTTGGAATTTCTATACTTGTTTTTTTTAGAGACAGAGTCTCATTTTTTATCGCCCTCAGTAGAGTGCCAGGGCATCACACACTCACAGCAACCTCCAACTCCCAGACTTAGGCGACTCTTTTGCCTCAGCCAACTGAGAAGCTGGGACTACAGGCGCCCACCACAATGCCCGGCTAGTTTTTGTTGCAGTTTGGCTGGGGCTGGGTTTGAATCCGCCACCCTTGGTGTATGGGGCTGGTGCCTTACCCACTGAGCCACAGGTGCTGCCCCAATTTCTATACTTTACATTTTATCTTGTAAACTATTACTAATTCATTAACTGCTGAATGCCCAATATATCTACTTTGAGTGCCAGGTACTTTGTTAGTAGGCAAACTGAAAAAGAATTTCATGGTGCAAAAGGTAATAGGAAAGCTCAATGGCATCTGAAAAAAAGTATTTTTTAGATTTCACAGAAGTGCTGTAGATTAGAAGAAATACTATTTGCATGGAAACATATAAAAGACTTTACAATACTAATAGTTATAAATTTGAAAATCAAGAATTTTAATGACTATAAAGCTAAAGTTTAGTTTTATAAATATTGTCAAAAATTAGCTTATAAACAGTTAAAGAAAATAAAACTAAACCATTAAAATGTTTGATACCAAACACCATATACTTTATAGTTTTAAGGGTAAGAGAAGGAAACTCCCAAATTATAGAGCAATGGAGATATTTTCTTTATTTTTATTTATTTTTAATGGAAATATTCTTTACCATATACAAGAAAGTGAAACAAGGCCAGACTTAGAACTCAAACTAGAGAATCAAGCAATCATTTAGTAAATTAAAATGACTAATTTAAAAATTGCTTTCTATCTTGAAAAGTTATTCCTAATACAAAAGTATAAAATATTGGGTAGCACCTGTAGCTCAGCGGGTAGGGCGCCAGACCCATATACTGAGGGTGGCGAGTTCGAACCTGGCTGCAGCCAAACTGCAGCAAAAAAATAGCTGGGCGTTGTGGCAGACACCTGTAGTCCCAGCTTCTCAGGAGGCTGAGGCAAGAGAATCGCCTAAGCCAAGGAGTTGGAGGTCGTTGTGAGCTGTGACACCATGGCACCCTACCAAGGGTAATAAAGTAAAACTCTGTCAACAACAACAAAAAGTATAAAATATCTAGCCAGGCATGGTGGTGAATGCCTGTAGTCCCAGCTACTAGGGAGCCTGAGGCAAGAGGATTGCTCAGGCCCAAGAGACTGAGGTCGCTGTGATCTATGATGCCATGGTACTCTAACCAGGGAGAGAAAGTAAGATTCTGTCTCAGAAAAACCGAACAGGCCTGGTGCAGTGGCTCACTCCTGTAATCCTACCACTCTGGGAGGCCAAGGCAGGTAGATTGCCTGAGCTCACAGCTTCCAGACCAGCTGGAGTGAGAGTGAGACTCAGTCTCTGAAAATAGCTAGGTGTCGTGACCGGCACCTATAGTCCCAGCCACATGGGAGGGTGAGGCAAAAGGATCGCTTGAGCCCAAGAGTTTGAGGTTACTGTGAGCTATGATGACACCACAGCATTCTACCCAGGATAAAAGAAAAAAACACTATCGCAAAAATAAAATGAAATAAAAATAAAATAAAAATTAGACTTAGTCCTTACAGCTTAGTGATTAGGGCACCAACCAAATGCACTGGGGCTGGTGAGTTCAAATCCTGCCCAGGCCTGCTAAACAACAACAAAATAGCTGGGTGTTGTGGTGGGTGCCTATAGCCTCAGCTACTCAGGAGGCTGAGGCAAGAGAATCACTTAAGCCCAAGGGTTTGAGGTTGCTGTGAGCTGTGATGCCACAATACTCTACTGAGGGTGACATAGTTGAGACTCTGTCTTGAAATAAATAAATAAATAAATAAATAAATAATATAATAAATAGGAGACGCTATTAAAACACATTTTATAAGGCTGGGTGTGGTGGTTCATGCCGGTAATCCTAGCACTCTGGGAGGATAAGCTGGTGGATTGCCTAAAGTCAGGAGTTGGAGACCAGCCAGAGCAAAAGTGAGTCCTTGTCTCTACTAAAAATAGAAAAAACTAGACAGACATGGTGGTACATGCCTGTAGTCCCAGCTACTCTGCAGGCTGAGGCAAGAAGGTCACTTGAACCCAGGATTTCGAGGTTGCTGTAAACAATGATGACACCACAGCACTCTACTCACGGTGACAGAGACTGTCTCAAAAATAAAAAACAAAACAAACCCAACAAACCCCAAAACAGTTTATATATTAACTTCATAGTTTTACATTTACAGTTTTTTTTATATATATATATTTTTTATCCCCCTGGGTAGAGTGCCGTAGTATCACAGCTCACAGCAACCTCCAACTCCTGGGCTCAAGTGAGTCTCCTGCCTCTGCCTCCCAAGTAGCTGGGACTACAGGCGCCTGCCACAACACCTGGCTATTTTTCTTTTTTTTGGTTGCAGCCATCATTGTTGTTTGGCGGGCCCCGGGATGGATTCGAACCCACCACCTTAGGTGTATGTGGCTGGCGCCTTAGCCACTTGAGCCACAGGCACCAAGCCTACAGTTTTATTATCACCTCTCCTATTTCAATTTTTATTCTGGTCCTGATCCCTTTTTTTTTTTCTTTTTGTTTAGTAGGCTTGGGCTGGGTTTGAACCCACCAGCCATGGAGCACGTGGCCGGCCCCCTAACCACTGAGCACGAGCACCAAGCTCTCTGGCCCTGGTCTTTATAAGTCTTATTTCATCTTGTTATATAATAAGAACAAACCAAGATACTAAGTATGTAAGTAATAAGCAAATAAATCAACAACTAAGTATTTTAGGCAAAGTGCTTGACTTTCCATATAAGGCTTATGGGTTTAGTTAAAACTGCCTTCTCTATTAAAATCTGTAAGAATCTACACTAGTAATAAAATCTAATAGGAAACCTACTTTGTACAATATATAAAAGATCAATGCTAATGAGTTCTTTTAGAGCATAAAGCAAACCAGGCTTGCTATTTTTGATAATTTTATTGATTTGTATCTAAAAAGGAATGTTACTTACATGTCCTGCGTATTGTCCAAATTTCTTTCTTAGCCCAACAGCCAGGCCAGTAAGACATTTTGCTGCCAAAGCCACCAGCATGACATTGGTGTCCTTTCCAACAACCTAAATAACAAAATAGTCACATCACTGAATAAAGGTATTAACAATTTTTTCTCAAAAGAACTCTGAAAGCGATTTTGCTAATGGTGACCAATTTTGTTTCCTACAAAAGAAGAAACCTTCTTTCTTTTTTTTTTGCAGTTTTTGGCCAGCGCCCTACACCTTGAGCCACAGGTGCCGCCCAACCTTCTTTCATAATATTGCAATTGGGAGCTTCCCTTTATATGTTTAGTCTCTTATCTTAAAGTTCTACCTAAAATATAAAATCACACTTAAAATTGCTTACTACCCAGTCCCTGTAGTCTGTGCTGTCAGCATCATTCATCTGTGTAGGAGGTGACCCTGATAATGGCAGAGAAGCTAGAGGTCTGCTGACTTTGCTTTGGGTCAGAGAAGTCTAAAAGAAAGTGTATTTCTTTCTTTTTTTTTTTTTTTTTTTTTTTTGCAGTTTTTGGCTGGGGCCGGGTTTAAACCCACCACCTCCGGTATACTGGGCCAGTGCCCTACTCCTTGAGCCACAGGCACCACCCCCAAAAAGTGTATTTCTGAAAGACACCACAGGGCAGCAGATCTAATATTTTTACCCAAGGAGGATCAGTAGAAATAGCTATAGATACCTTCCAGAATTCCACGAGAATCCTAAATTATGAATGCCACTATTCCCATTCCTCTGAGGGAGTTTCTGGCATTAAAGCTGCCATTTGGATCTTCTAATGATCATCAAGCTTGTATTTAGAGTTGCTTAGTAGATTTTCCTCTAGCAGTCTTTATACTATCACCCTTATAAGCTATACCCCAAAGCCCAGCACTTATCTAAACTTATGGGTAGCCCATTCTGTGACAATTCACAATGACTTGACTGGTCTTTCAGGTGAGATTTTAGTGTGGTATAATGGTATACTTCCTAAGTCAGTTAGTGTGAAAAAGCTGCTTTACTTATAAGTGTCCCCAAATTCTTGGTTTTCATTCTTTTTCCAGAAGAAGTAATGCCTTCATTCTACTTTGAATTTTATATAGTCCCTAAGATACGGTATTGCATAAGAACGCTTTATTCTAGATTTTTAGCATCATCTAATACATACCATGCAAGGAAGTTCTAGTTGGTACCTACAAATATACACTTCCTAAATACAGAGGAATAGGGATTAAAAGACTAACATTTATTTTATTTTATTATTTATTTTTTTGAGACAGAGTCTCTAGCTGTAGCCCTGGTATCCTAGCTCACAGCAACCTCTAACTGGGGCTCAAGTGATCCTCTTCCCTCAGTTTTTTTCTATTTTTAGTAGAGACTGGGTGGTGCTTTTGCTCAGGCTGGTCTTGAACTCCTGAGCTCAAGCAATCCACTCGCTTTGGCCTCCCAGAATGCTGGGATTACAGGCACAAGCCACTGCATCTGGCCCTAACATTTACTTTAAAAAATTAGGGCTGGCTGGCTCCGCGTCTGTGGCTCAAGTGGCTAAGGCGCCAGCCACATACACCTAAGGTGGCAGGTTTGAATCCAGCCCGGACCCGCCAAACGACAATGACAGCTGCAACCAAAAAATAGCCGGGCATTGTGGCAGGCGCCTGTGGTCCCAGCTACTTGGGAGGCTGGGGCAGGAGACTTGCTTGAGCCCAGGAGTTGGAGGTTGCTGTGAGCTGTGAAGCCACAGCACTCTACCCAGGGGGATAGCTTGAGGCTCTGTCTCAAAAAAAAAAAAAATTAGGGTTGGCTACAGTGGCTCATGTCTGTAATTCTTGCACACTAGAAGGCCAAGGTGGAGGACTGCTTGAGTTGAGGAGTTTAAGAGCAGCCTGGACAAGAGTGAGACCCCATGTGTATAAAAACAAAAAAATTAGCCAGGTGTGGCTGCAGGCCCCTGTAGTCCCAGCTACCTGGGGGGATGAGGCAGGAAGATCATTTGAGCCTAGGAGAATGAGGGTGCAATGAGATATTACAATGTCATATACTCTAGTCCGGGCAACAGAGGGAGCCCCTATCTCAAAAACAAAACAACAAAACCTGATTAGGCATAATTTTATAGTTGCATTATAACTTTTTTTTCCCTGTTTTTTTTTTTTGGCTGGTGCTGAAACCACTACCTCCATTATATGGGGCCAGTGCCCTCTACTTTGAGCCACAGAAACAGCCAATTTTTTCTTCTTTTTTTTTGAGACAGAATTTTACTCTGTTGCCCCAAGCTAGACTGTCATGGTGTTACCCTAGCAGCAACCTTCAGCTCTTGGGCTCAGAGGCGCTGTCTGTGGCTCAGTGAGTAGGGCGCCGTCCCCATATACTAAGGGTGGCAGGTTCAAACCCGGCCCTAGCAACAACAACAAAAAAAACAGCTGGGTGTCATGGTGGGCGCCTGTAGTCCAAGCTACTCAGAAGGCTGAGGCAGGAGAATCGCTTAAGTCCAGGAGTCGGAAGTTGCTGTGAACTGTGTGATGCCATGACACTCTACCGAGGGCGACAAACTAAGACTCTGTGTCTACAATAAAAAACAAACAGAAAAACTCTTGGGCTAAAGTGATCCTACTGCCTCAGCCTACCAAGCAGCTGGATTACAGGCACCTACCATGACCTCCAGCTAATTTTTTTTATTTTTTAGTAGAGACGGGGTCTTGCTCTTGCACAGGCTAATCTCGAACTCCTGAGCTCAAGGGATCATCCTATCTGGCTTCCCATAGTGCTAGGACTAAAAGGGTGAGCCACTGCGTCCAACTCTTATAAGCCTTCTAAATTTAATTTTCAACCAAAGCCTATGAGGCAGATGCTATTATTATCTCACTCTGTAGATGTCAAAAATTAAGTAACAAATTAACATGCTCAAGGTCACATAGCTAGCAAATGGTAGTGCTATGATTCAAACCCAAGTCTATTTTGAGTCCAAAACTTTTGATCCCTTTACTAAAGCATGTTCTCCCTATAAACTCATGGGAAACAAGTTTATCTTTCTTAAGAAAAAATGGGATCAAGATCTTAATAAACACTTTGCTAAATTTCTAATTACTATAAGTATATAGAGAAAAAAATTTCCACTCAGTTATGTATTAAACTCATTATTTGCATTTGTAAATGTTCTGGTTATGTCTCCTTAACAAAAACATATCAGGTTTGATTTTATGCTAGCAACTAAATAAATATATATACTAGAAATGGTCATTAAAACATACCCAAGAAATTCTAGTTCAATGAATCTGGGGTGAGATATGGACATCAATCTTTTTATATAGCTCAAAGAGTGATTTCTGTCAGCTGGTGCAGTGGCTCACACCAGTAAACCCAGCACTCTAGGAGGCCGAAGCAGGTAGACTGCTCGAGCTCAAGTGTTCGAGATCAGCCTTAGCAAGAGCAAGACCTAATCTCTACTAAAAATAGAAAATATAGCTGGGCATTGTTGCTGGCACCTATAGTCGCAGCTACTTGGGAGGCTGACGCAAGAGGATTGCTCAAGCCCAAGAGACTGAGATTGTTGTGAGCTATGATGCCATAGTATTCTATCCAGGGCAACAGAGTAAGACTCTGTCTCAAAAAAATAAACCAGATTGATTTTATTATACACACTCAATTTGAAACTACCATTCCATCCTTTTGTTAGGAGAATACTTCTTCCTATCTACTTTTAGAGTAGTAACCAGTGGGAGCTAGGCTCTGGACACTCATGACCTTAACATATGGTATTGAAGAAGATACTATGTATCTATTATATTTCAATATTGTAAAGGATTAAATGTATTTATAGGTGAGTGGTGAACCAGGTACCCTAATATTATATCTGCTTGTCACATTCATTGTCATATATCTCATAAACAAGTTATTCTTAACTGAGAAATGAGAGTGGGAAAAAGAAAAGTATTTATTTTTTATTTATTTTTTTAAGACAGAATCTCACTATGTCACCCTTGGTAGAGTGCTGTGGCATCACAACTCACAGCAATCTCAAACTCTTGGGCCTAAGCGATTCTCTTGCCTCAGCCTCCCAAGTAGCTGGGACTATAGGCACCTACCACAACACCCGGCTCTTTTTTATTGCAGTTGTCATTGTATTTAGCTGGCCCTGGCCAGGCTCAAACTTGCCAGCTTTGGTGTATGTGGCTGGCACCATAACCACTGTGCTATGGGTGCCAAGCTGGGAAAAGAGTTTATTTTTAAGAAAAATAGTCTACGTAGTGGAACTTCATTCCAGAGATAAGAAAAACTCAGTGGCTTATGTCATTTTAGTGACTTCTGTTTTAGAGCAGGGAATGGTCATAATCTCATTTTAATCTAAATCTAGGAAATCCTGTACAACTAAAAGTGCTGACAGGCCAGGAGCAGTGGCTCACGCCTGTAATCCTACACCTCTCAGAGGCTGAGATGGGTGGATTGCTTGAGTTCACAAGTTCAAGAACAGCCTGAACAAATAGCGAGATCCTGTCTCTACTAAAAATAGAAAAACTGAGGCAAGAAGATAGCTTGCACCCAAGAATTGGAGGTTGCTGTGAGCTATGACATCACAGCACTCTACCCTGGGTGACAGCTTGAGACTTTGTCTCAAAAATTAAAAAAAAATAAAATTAAAAAAAGAAAAGTGCTGACAGGCTACAGTAGCTTACTCCTATAACCCTAGTACTCTGGGAGGCCAGCTTCCCTATCTGGGAAGATAGCTTGAGTGCAGGAGTCTGAGGCTGCAATGAGCTATGATCACACCATTGAACTCCAAACTGGGTGACAGAGTGAGACTCTGTCTATTAAAAAAAAAAGGGTCAATAAGATATGAAGTTGGTGTATATAAAAAACAAAATGTCACATTTCAGGTTAATGTTTACAACTAAAGTTTATTTTTCATTGTTTTAAGTATTTTAGCCACAAAAGTAAGTTTCTTTTTACTTGTTTGTGGCCTTTTGATTTATTTGCCCCAACATTGCCACATGCAAAGGGCTACTCTAGATCTCTCAGACATCTACTGTCTACCCAAATATAAAATCCACGATCTTCTCTCTGTATATATAATACACAGGCTAACTATTAAAAAATACAGGTCCTCCTTATTCATAAACCCATATTTATGAATTTACCTACTTGTTAAAACTGATTTATAACCCCAAAATCATTATCCATGGTACTTTCTTGGTCATTTGCAGACAAAAGCACAAAGCTGTGAAAATTTTGAGTTGTCTGATGTGCATATTCCCAGCTGAGAGGGAACAAAGTAACCTTCTGTTTGTTTCAACTCTCATACTGTAAGTAAGTATCCTTTTCATGTCCTACTTAGAGCTATGTTTTTTTGTTGGTGCTTTCCTCATTTAAATGGCCCCCAGAGTAGCACTGAAATGCTGTCTAGTGCAAAAAACACTGTCAGAAAAGCTTCATGCAGGCATGAGTTACAGTGCTATTGAACATGAGTTCAGTGTTGATTAATCAACAATACATATGTAAGACATTGACAAGAAGATATTGTCAAACAGAATAAGGTTATATATTGATCAGTTGATGAAAATATTGTGACCAGAGGGTCACAGGACCCTGATCCTGTATTTTCCCTATAAGAAATGGTTCAGTATTCATTAACTTAGTGCTCTTGGCAACGTTATAGAACACAACTACCACAAATAATCATTATCATGGTGGCACCTGTAGCTCAGTGGGTAGGGCGCCATTCACATACACCCTATGTGACAGGGTTTGAATCCAGCCCAAGCCAGCAAAAACAACAATAACAACTGCAAAAAAAAAAAAAACCCACAAATAATCATAATCATTCTACATGTGCATACAATTAAAGATTAACTTCCTCCTTTTATCATTCTAATCCTCTGTAATTTCAGACTAAGGAAGCAAACAAAACAAACTTTTCAGTCTTGCTGTATTCATGAATATGCCTTCAGAGTTTGTTCTTAAGCTCTAAATTGTTATCTATAGTGTTTGATCTATACTTTGAGATTTTATAAAAAGTCATTAATTAAAAAAATACTCACCAGCAGCATTCAACCTGATTGGACCTAAATAAGACCAAAGACTCCTAAACTAAAAGTATTTATTTTTAGTGCTTGCCCACTTTATACTTACATATTCCCATATCCTCTATTCACATGCTAATATAATTCAGTGTGGCATTATTTGCTATTTGTCTTCAAATTTAATATTTGTTTAATTAAATATAGCTAATTTAAATAGCTTATCCTACAGAATTATTAAACTGGAACATGTGGTTCTAGATTAACAAGACCCTGTTATTCTTGAGGTTTACAGAAGCTATCAGATAGCATACTTAAAGTCACGGTGATAAACAAATATTAAAACCCAAACTAACCTAAGATAATAATTTTAAACAATCCTTTAAAAACATGTATCTGCAATTCAAATACCATCAATAGTATTCATTAAATTAGGCCAGGCATGGTGGCTCCTCTCTGTACTCCTAACACTTTGGGAGGCCAAGGCAGATGGATCTCCTGAGCTCACGAATTCAAGACCAGCCCGAGCCTGAGCAAGACCCTGTCTCTAAAAATAGCTGGGCATTCTGGCCGGTGCCTGTAGTCCCAGCTACTTAGGAGGCTGAAGCAAGAGAAATCACTTGACCCCAAGAGTTTGAGGTTGCTGTGACGCCACGGCACTCTACTGAGGATGACAAAGTCAGACTCTGTCTCAAAAAATAACAAGTATTAATTAAATAGTAATATATTTGTAATTCAAAAGATGACTGATGAAAAATTCAACATCCTTGTTTGCTGCAACAATATCAATGCTGAAGGTCCTTGTATTTACCTTTTTTAATGCTTTTACTAAATCTGCATAATCACCAGCTTCCAGTTTGGGGTTTTTCACCAGTACTTCTATAGCCTCCAGGGCCTCTTTTCTCTCTTGCCATTTTTTTGCCTCCTATAAGACACAATATGAGCCATTTGTAGAACAGAAAATAAAAGAGCAGAATAAAAGTCTATTGCTTGCACTATACTAATTCAAAGACATATAATTTTTTGCTTGCTTTTAGAAATTGTCTAACGTTCATTAAAAAACAAGGTTATAAAACTGTGCAGCCAGAACATTTTTAATATAAAATTTTGTTCACATATGTATTTTTGTAAGATTTTATAATCCTAAAGTAATATAATAAGTAAACAGAATAACATAACTTTTTGTTCTCATTGGTAAACAAGTGTTAAACAGAAAACACTGATAGAGAGCATCTCTGGACCATGTCACAATAGCATAATAACAGAAGAGGAATTTCTACAAGTACAATATTAAAAAGCCCAAAATAAAATAATCACGTAACGAACAACTCAAATTGTTCTAATCTTCAAGGTTAGTTTTCCAGATTGTGAGTATAATGCGAATCCCTTTGTTTTATGGCCATAAAGTAGACTATGTCTCACTAGAGATCAAATAATCATTCAACAATTTGAACACCCATTTATATGAAAAAACTAGAGATACAAAGAAGATGAAAAATTCACTATCCCGGAGATTATAGTTCAATGTATCAGATATTTATTTTGTTAATCAGAAGTTAATAGGATATTCAAGTTGCTGACAGCAGAGCTAAGAAGATTTTCAATGAATAACTACCAAGTGACCACTATGAAAAGATAAGTACAAGAGGCTCTGGTAATGAAGCAAGAGGACTCAATCTAGTTTAGGCAGTAAGAATCTCCCCTAAAAAGTAATGCTTAAAGTAAGAGCTAGAGGATAAAGAGGTATTACTAGATGAATGGCAAGAGAAGAATGTTATAGGCAGAAAGAACAGCATATGTTAAAGCCTTAAAGAAAACAACCATTGGCTTGGTGCCCACAGCTCAGTGGTTACGGTGCTGGCCATATATACCAAGGCTGGTGGCTTTGAACCTGGCTTGGGTCTGCTAAACAACAACAACTGCAACAAAAAAATAGCTGAGCATTGTGGCAGGCGTCTATAGTCCCAGCTACCTGGGAAGCTGAGGCAAGAGAATCGCTTAAGCCCAAGGGTTTGAGGTTGCTGTGAGCTGTGATGCCACAGCACTCTACTGAGGGTGACATAATACAACTGCCTCAAAAAAAGAAAGAAAGAAAGAAAGACAGACAGAAAAAAGAAAAGAAATGTGTGACCATGGCACATTTGTTACTGAGAGAAATCCAGTACGACTAGAACATGGAGAGTGAAAGCAATTAAAGATGTGGCTAGAAGGTAAGTGTCAGCCTCAAAGGTGCCATAGATGGCCTTGATGGTCACAGAATGATTTCAGATATCATCTTAAGATCCATGGAAGGGTTTAATCAAGCTTTAATGGGAAAATCAGCATTTTCAAAAAATGACATCTCTAATTACATTGTGAAGAATGATGGAAACAAGGCAATATCAGAGACAGGGAGTTTCATAGGAAGATTACTGCAGCATGTACAGCAAGGAATGATGTTTCTCAACCGGGGACAATTGAGAGGTCAAGGACTGAAAATGAGGGGTTATTCCAAGACATGAATGAAAGGAAGCGGAGTTCAGGTTCTATATGGGCAATGTGGCCTTATTCACTCGAGTGCGAGCAGGCTGAGTTTGAAAAAGTCAGCATGTGGGTTAAGCTGGGGTGGGAATATAAGAGTTGGGGAGGGGCAGGGTAGGGATTGGTATACTTGTTCCTTCCTGGGCAGTACGTTCTTTCCCGGATGGGACAGTTCTATTTGGGTAGGTCCCTACCAACAATTCTGTCTCCTAGAGAACATTTAGCAGTGTCTGGAGACATTTTTGTTTTGTTTTTGAGACAGAATCTATGTCACCCTCAGTAGAGTGCTATGGCATTACAGCTCATAGCAACCTCAAACTCTTTGGCTTAAGTGATTCTCTTGCCTCAGCTTCCCAAGTAGCTGGGACTACAGGCGCCGGCTGCAACGCCCGGCTATTTTTTTTTGTTGCAGTTGTTTAGCTGGCCTGAGCCAGGTTGGAACCCGCCAGCCTATATGTGGCTGGCACTGTAACCACTGTACTACGGCCACCCAGCTTGGAGACATTTTTGATTGTCATGAGTTAGAAGGATGATACTGACATCTACTGGGTAAAAGCTAGAGATGTTGCTAAATATCTTACAATACATAGGACAACCCACCAGTACAAAGAATTATCTGACAAAAAATGTCAACAGTACTATAAGGGTCAAGCAACCTTGGAGCAAAGCAGTAGCAGTGGGGATAAAGAAAAGAGGATGAATTTGAGACATATTTAAAGGTAAAATCTGAGAGAAAATGAAGAAAAGAAAGTCAGGAATAATATTCTGGTTTTTGGCAAGACATGGTTTTTAAAAAGTGCTATACTACAAGTATGTATAAACTACTATGGGAACAAAGAGGAAGAAGCAACTAGCTCATTCTGCTAGGGAAGATATAGGGTGAAGGGGAAACACCAAGCAAGGGCTCAGCAGAGCATTTTCTAATTCTATTCAGTAACTAGTTGAAAAGAAATAAATGAAAGAACTATTACTTACAATTTTGTCATAAAAGTCTTTAGGAAGTTTGGAAAGAATTTCTACTGCTTCCAAAAGTTCATAAGCATCTATCTGTGGCACCTCATCACCATCATCACCACCTTTAAGGAGAAATATAAAACAAACCATAAAAATCAATGGAATGGTTTTACCAATCAAATATTTATAAGTCCTTTCACAACTCTGATGAAATACTAATAGAGAAGGGATCAGAGTTATTAACATCACGTGTAACTTACAGTTTATTAAAGGCAGTCCTACAAAATATGCCTAGTGAACACAAATTCTTGGGCAGCGCCAGTTCTTGCTAATTTTTATAAAAACCAATGTGTAAAACTGGCTCACCTCCCTCAGCATCACCACCAGCAGACTGTTGCTGTTCCAATTTAGCTTCTAGTTCTTGCTGGGAACGAAGAAACCGGCTAGGTTTAGTGGCTCCTGTTGGCAGTTTTACCCATTCTTCTTCTAGTTCTTTCAACTGCAAATACCATAAAATATTTTAAGACCATTATCTACCTTTCCACCATTAAAGAACATTTTTTCTTTATCTTTTTTCTTCTTTTTTTGAGATAGGTTCTTGCTTTGTCACCCAGGCTGGAGAGCAGTGGTCCAATCATAGCTCACTGCCATCTCAGACTACTGGGTTTAAGTGATGTTTCTGCCTTTGCATCTTGAGTACCTGGGACTACAGGTGTGCACCATCATGCTTGGCTAATTTAAATGTTTTATAGAGATGGGGGACCTCAATATTGCCCAAGCTGATCCTAAACTCCTGGGCTCAAGTAATCCTCCTGCTTTATCCTCCCTAGAGAACATTCTTAATACTTATATTTATTAAAATATCAGGACTCAGCCAGGCACAGTAGCTCATGCCTGTAATCCCAGCACTCTGAGAGGCCAAGGCCGGCAGATAGCATGAGCTTACAAGTTTGAGACCAGCTCTGAGCAAGAATGAGACCCTGTCTCTAAAAATAGCCAGGTGTTGTGGTGGGCGTCTATAGTCCCAGCTACTCAGGAGGCTAAGGCAAGAGAATAGTTTGAGCCTAAGAGTTTGAGGGTGCTGTGAGCTATGAGGTCACCGCACTCTATTGGAGGCAGCAAAGCGAGACTCCTAAACTAAACTAAACTTAATTAAACTAAACTTAAAAAAATAAAATATCAGGACCAAATTTCTTTCTTTCTTTCTTTCTTTTGTTTTTATAAGAGACAGAGTCTCACTTTATCGCCCGTGGTAGAGTGCTGTGAAATTACAGCTCACAGCAACCTCCAACTCCTGGGCTTAGGTGATTCTCTTGCCTCAGCCTCTCAAGAAGCTGGCACTATAGGTGCCTGCCACAATGCCCAGCTATTTTTTGTTGCAGTTTGGATGAGGTGGGATTTGAACTTGCCACCCTAGGTATATGGGGCCGGCGCCCTACCCACTGAGCCATAGGCACTACCCAGGACCCAATTTCTTATTATGTGGCTCTAACAGGACAAATGAAATAAATTTAAATTGTACATATTTTGTAGCATACATCAAACCAACTTATATTTTCCTATACAGAAAATATATTTCTAAACACTAAGAAAGAAAAATAAAATTCACTTTTTTTTTTTTT